TGTCTATAGCCTTCCTACCATTAAACTCTTGTTCCTTGCGATCCAACTGGGTTTTAGCAAACAATTGCCTCTTTGTTGCTCCAATTTTCCTACATTCTTGGTTGCCAAGCAACGATTTTGCCAACAACGGAGAAACAAATTGTTGTTGCCTATTAGTAGGGGCTTGACTGTTAGGGACACCACCGACTTACAATTGGAAAGAACAAATTTCTCAAACACCTCTAGCCCCCGAAGGTATTCTTACAAATTAGCTCTCAAACTTGTCGAGTGGTGTCAAATAACCCCTTCAACCCAAATCAAACACATCCCGCACCGCAAACTTTTCAAAGGTGTCAAATAAGACCTTATTTAATGGGAGAAAATACTATAATAACAATGCTTCATGGTATTGTAAGATTATAATATAATATATCGTTATATTATTAATTCTTTTTATTTAAGAATGACATGATATTATATATATTTATTTATTTTATATTTCATCATATTTATTTAATGATATATTATGATTATTAATTTAAAATTTAATTTTATATGGTATTATAATTATAATATTATTGTGAAATTAGTGGGATTCACTAAGAAACATGGCATATTGCTAGACTATCTTTTATGACTTGACCTTTTTTTTTTTTTATGATTAGGCAAACAATCAGGCAATACCTTATGAGTGCTAACGTATTTACATAGGAATGCTAAAGAAGTTTGGCGTGGGACCAATGATTGCTTTAGTTCCGTACAAGGTTAAAGTTAAATGTACTTGATTATATGCGCCCGCCACTAATGCAAGTTTAGCGAATCTGTACCATAATACTATTCCTCTACCATTTGCTTATGGAATATCAATGTTCTACTATCAAATTCGAGCTCCAAAAAAGAAAAAGAAAAAGAGAATGTTACTGCTATCTAAATTATATCTCAAAAAAAGGATAACAATAATAATAACAAACAAAAGAAAGAAAAGAAAAGTGAAAAACTGGAAATTACGGCTTTAGTAGATTCTCGAGGTTGGTCTCAAAGTTGTGACTTTTTAGCACTTTGATTTGAAACAAAGGGCCCAATTTAAATGAAGGTTCCCCACAGTCTCGGTACGATAGCTAAAGAAGCCTAACAAAGCAACGTAAAGAAGATAAAGCAAACTCAGTTTTGTATAATTTTTTCCCAATTCATTTCGGTTCCGTTTTCCCTTTCTACCAACGATTCCTCTGTTTCATAACTCTATGCTGGAAGGTATAATGCAGGTGCTGATAAATGATTTTAAATGGTTGCTAGTTAATGTTATTTATAATCTAAACTCTTTTATTTATTAAATTAGACAGCAACAATTAAACTAAAATATTTTTTAAATCTATCTATTTGTTTTAGCATTTGAAATTGGAATATTTAATTTGAAATATTAAATTTTTCCAGTTTGAAACATCTTGAAAAATTTGACAAGGCTTCTTTTCTTTCTTTTTTTCTTTTTTGTTTTAGTTCGGTACAAGGCTTCGTTAAATCTTCACTGATGCTATGATTTAAATTGTTAGACATTGCTGGCTAACAGTTTCTTGCTTATGAGTGGATAAACGATAGATATGATCGTTTGGACAGTTGTTTTTTTCCTTAAGGAAGGACAATGAGGGCTACAAACAGAATGTCACAAAAAAATAAATGCTGTTTGCTAAAGGCAGATGCTCCACCTTTACCTTATCATAGATCACCATTCATACCATGGTTGTGCCAGAACATATGCTCGCTTTAGTGAATTTTAATACTTACAAAATTTGTTACCAATCAATCACCTACACTTGTAACTAGAGCACTTAGCTCCTGTTGATATTAGTGCTTGCAATTTTAGACATTTTGGGGGCTGAGACTTGATGTTGAAATTTATTGTCACCTTAAAGGGTAGTTTAAGTGATTGAAAATTTGAATTTCAAGTTAGAGCTTAACTTATTTTTTATTATATAAATTATGTACAAAAAAATGAAATTTGTTGTCATAATCTTCTTTTGTTTTTTATTTTAATGCAACAAACTAGGATACAGTTATTCTATTGACATAAAACAATTTTTCTTTACTAATAAAAAGAGCAATTTTTATTTGCTAATAATCTTAGTGGTCAAATGATAATCTCTTTCTTTTAAAGATTAAAAATTCTAAATGTATATCTTATGAGATAACTCAAATAGTAAGATAGTAGTAACTACTCATTGAATCATGTTTTGATTCAAGTTGTGAATTGATTTGTGTTTCATTCACTAAGTATTGTACCTTTAAACATGATTATAAACAACATAGCATGAAGTTATATATACTCAATGAAGCAGCTGAGTTTGTTCTTAGCTGAAAAAATGGTAATGAGAAATACATTTTAAAATTAGAAAATTTTATGGTAGAGAGCGCTTAGCATGCTAGAGGTAGGGGATCGATGCGCCGCATCTCCATCTACTTCTTCTCTAATTGTTTAATTCATTCCTATGGGCTGGTGATACTTTACTCTTTTTCGTGTATTCAACTGTGGAGCTGGAATTGGATCAGTCACCAACAATGTACAATTTTCAGCTATTTGGGCTTGGGGCCAGCTTCATTGTAGAACTCATAGGTTTGGTTTCTATTTCATTGACCCATTAGTTTAAATTTAAAATTTGCATATGAGCTTTTATTACCTGCTTCGTTCAAAATTTGAAAAACTCTCTTTCTGTAAAAACCGAAATTAAGCCACAGGAAAATGTTTTGCATGGAAAGTGTAAGAATATTTATACATTTATTTAAATATTTTTAATAAATCAATATGAAATTTCATAAATATTCATATAGATTTTTTTCACAAGTCAACTTAAAAATTTACAATCCATTAAATTTATGATACTTTATTAAAAAAAACGCTTATAAATTCTTTCGAAAAGAAAAAAAAACGCTTATAATAATGTTTATAAAAGCTGAAATTATAAATTTGTGATTTTTGTAGTATAATGATACAAAAATTTTATTCAAACAACACTTCCAAAAATCTGGACCCATTTATCAAGTCCGAAGCAAAAACAGCAATTAGTGACAAAATGAAAATATAAATACCGGTTCTTGTCAATTACAACTGGCTGATAGGAGGGTGGTAGCGGAACCACATTCACATGCAACAATGGTTGGACATAGGCCTTATGATAAAAAAATCAAAAAATAAAGAGGCAAAAAGACTTGGGCCAACTTGGTTGGTCGGTTATGTTTGGGGTCGAGTGGTGTGAAGGAGAGGGAGGTGGGTGCTTGGTTGTGTTTTGGTAGTTGGGTAGAACCGTAGTATATGTGGCTGTGGAGGAATGGGAGGGCTTAGGGGAGAGGTGTAGAGTTGGGTGACAAGACGCTGGAATTAATTCACAACAAGGACAAAAAGGCTTTATTATCTTTTCGTGACCTATGATGTCGGAATCCATGGCAGTGTGTGCAAAAATTATACGTGAAGGTCAAGTGGGCTTTGCACAATCTAAATATTATAAAAGATGAACAACAATTTCACAGCCTTATAATTATTTCAAATTTTGTATCATCCGTTTGTGAAAAATTAAGATATTTTAATAATTAAAATATTTAAATTAATAATAAAAATATTCAAATATCTTTAAAATTTAATGAATTAATACATAAAAAAATTTATAAAAATATTTAAATAATTACATAAATAGTCTGAAATGTTTTTATTTTTACTTTCTTTTTTCTTGTCTTTTTTCTCTTTTTT